AAAAAAATTTAAAAGTTTTTGGAAAGGACCCAAAAACATTTTTTTTTTCTTACACAAAGTTGTTCATTTTAAATGGTCATATTGCTCTCACATGCCAAGGGTATATATTGGAAATTACACCCTCACAGAATAGAATATATTCTGCTACCTCTCCTGAGTATGGGGATACCACATGTAGTGTGACTTTTTTGGGAAACCTACAAGGTCGCATACAGGGCAGACCGAAATCAAATCTATCCTTTGAAAGCCTATAAGGTTGTGTAATTTCCTCATTTCACTTCCTCACTACTAATCACAGTTTCAGAGGCCTTGAAATTCCAGGATAGCACAATACCCACTTCCCCAAATTTACCCCTTTTTGGAAAGTAAGACACCCAAAAACCTATTTGCTAAGAGGGTGTGTTGAGTTAATGGAAATGCTTTATTTTTTACCACAGGTTTTTGGAAAATAACAAAAAAGTTTTTTTTTTTAACCCAAAGTTGTCACTTAAATTATACATTGCTCACACAAGCCATGGGTATATGTGCAATTAATCCCCAAAATACATTCTGCTACTTCTCCTGAGTATGGGGATAGCACATGAGTGAAACTTTTTGGGAGCCTAGCCACATACAGAAGCCCCAAAAATCCAATGACCCCTTTGAAAGCCTAAAGGTGCGTAACTTCCACATTTAACTTTAACTTTCTCACTACCTATCAAGAGTTTCAGAGGCCCTGAAATGCCAGGATAGCATCATACCCCCCACCCCAAATGACCCCCTTTTTGGAATGTAGACACCCCAAGGAATTTAATAAGAGATATGGTGAGCATTTTGCAGATCTCATTTTTTCTCACAAGATTTTGAAAGATTAAAAAATAAAGAAAAAATATGTTTTCCTTTTCTTTCTTCATTTTCCAAAAGTTGTGTCAACAAATGAGATCTGCAAAATACTCACCATGCCTCCTGTCTAAATTCCTTGGGGTGTCTACTGTCCCAAAAAACAGGTCATTTTGGGGAGCGGGGGGTTGTACTATTCTGGCATTTCAAGTAGTCAGGACCGTAGTAACGTGGAAATAAAGCCCTTTAAAAGCCTGAGGTGTTTATCGGATTTTGGGATGTGGGATTGTGGACAGGGACTGTCAAAAAGTCCCTCAACATGTGGTATCCCCATACTGAGGAGAAGTAGCAGAATGTATTTTGGGGATTAATTCCACTATACCCATGGCATGTGTGAACAATTAGAGATGAGCGAAGTATTCAAAAAATTCGATTCGGCTGATTCGGCGAATTCGAGGAATAAAATTCGATTCGATGCGAATTTAATTTATAAAAAGGGATGTTTCTAGGCTTCAGAGATTTAAAAACCTTTATATTATGTGCAGAACACTGGTACCCTTAATTTTAAAATGCCCTTGGAGTCTGCTGGGAGGAAGAAAATAATACTGTCAGTCAGTATGACATGCAGATGAGTGCCGTTGATCTTAGAATCACCGCACACTTCACTCATTTGGGCAGTCACGAGGCCTAAAACCAGAGTGTTGGGCCACAGTGTGGCGGTGGAGGCAGCAGCAATAAAAATGGGAATGGCCATACAGCACCCTATGACAAAATGGAACCCACCAGCAGTTGTAAGGAGACCTGAAAGTGGCACATGGCAGAGTGTGGCGATGGAGACAGCAGCAATGGGAGGGCCGTACAGGGACCCAATGAGACACTCTGGACCTGGCAGCAGCATGAGGAGGCGGTCTGCTGGTACAGGGTCATGACAGATTGTACGGGCCTGGCAGCAGCAGAGGAGTCGGGTACGGGGGGGCCATGGCAGATTACGGGCCTGGCAGCAGCAATGGGAGGCCCGTTAATCTGCCAGCACCCTATGACAAAATGGAACCCACCAGCAGTGTGAGGAGACCTGAAAGTGGCACATGGGCAGAGTGTGGCGATGGAGACAGCAGCAATGGGAAGGCCGTACAGGGACCCATGAGAGACTCTGGACCTGGCAGCGCAGCATGAGGAGGCGGTACAGGGGCCCATGACACAGATTACGGGGCCTGGCAGCAGCAATGAGGAGTCGGTTACGGGGGCCCATGGCAAGATTACGGGCCTGGCAGCAGCAATGGGAGGCCCGTAATCTGCCAGCACCCCTATGACAAAAATGGAACCCACCAGCAGTGTGAGGAGACCTGAAAGTGGCACATGGCAGAGTGTGGCGATGGAGACAGCAGCAATGGGAGGCCGTACAGGGGACCCATGAGAGACTCTGGACCTGGCAGCAGCAGCATGAGGAGGCGGTAACACAGGGGCCCATGACAGATTACGGGCCTGGCAGCAGCATGAGGAGTCGGTACGGGGGCCCATGGCAGATTACGGGGCCTGGCGCAGCAGCAATGGGAGGCCCGTAATCTGCCAGCACCCTATGACAAAATGGAACCCACCAGCAGTGTGAGGAGACCTGAAAGTGGCACATGGCAGAGTGTGGCGATGGAGACAGCAGCAATGGGAGGCCGTACAGGGACCCATGAGACACTCTGGACCTGGCGGAGAGCAGCATGAGAGAAGCGCGGTACAGGGGCCCATGGCAGATTACGGGCCTGGCAGCAGCAATGGGAGGCCCGTAATCTGCCAGCACCCTATGACAAAAAATGGAACCCACCCAGCAGTGTGAGGAGACCTGAAAGTGGCACATGGCAGAGTGTGGCGATGGAGAACAGCAGCAATGGGAGGCCGTACAGGGACCCATGAGGACACTCTGGACCTGGCAGCAGCATGAGGAGGCGGTACGGGGGCCCATGGCAGATTACGGGCCTGGCAGCAGCAATGGGAAGGAACCGTAATCTGCCAGCACCCTATGACAAAAATGGAACCCACCAGCAGTGTGAGAGGACCTGAAAGTGGCACATGGCAGAGTGTGGCGATGGAGACAGCAGCAATGGGAGGCCGTACAGAGAACCCATGAGACACTCTGGACCTGGCCAGCAGCATGAGGATGCGGGGTACAAGGGGGCCCATGGCAGATTATGGGCCTGGCAGGGAAGATTAGCAATGGGAGGCCCTAATAATCTGCCAGCACCCTATGACAAAATGGAACCCACCAGCAGTGTGAGGAGACCTGAAAGTGGCACATGGCAGAGTGTGGCGATGGAGACAGCAGCAATGGGAGGCCGTACAGGGACCCATGAACACACTCATGGACCTGGCAGCAGCATGAGGGAGCGCGGGAGGGGCCTACAGGGGCCCCCGATGGCAAGATTACGGGCCTGGCAGCAGCAATGGGAGGCCCGTAATCTGCCAGCACCCTATGGACAAAAAATGGAACCCACCAGCAGTGTGAGGAGAGACCTGAAAGTGGCACATGGCAGAGTGTAGCGATGGAGACAGCAGCAATGGGAGGCCGTACAGGGACCCATGACACACTCTGGACCTGGCAGCAGCAAGAGGAGACGGTACAGGGGCCCATGGCAGAGTGGCGAAGCGTAAGCAGCTTAAATTGAAGGCCATACAGAGGCCTCTGTTAAAAAATAATAACATGTTTTGGGGGCATGATTCATGGCGGATTTTAGTCAGTTGTGTCAGGAACTGGTGGTTTGAAATCCAGACTAATCCACGCCTGATTCATTTTCACAAATCACAGTGAGAGTCTCTCCACACTTTGGGTGGACAGTGTGTCCTCCGCGGAGTTACAATACCTCCTGCCGCACTAAACACGCGCTCCGATGCCACGCTACTGGCCGGGCATGACAGCCTTTCAAGGGCAAATTCAGCTAGTTGGGGCCAAAGGTCAAGTTTCGTGCCCAGTAAGTCAAGGGGATTGTCTACCTCGGTTGGCAGGGTGCTGTCCAAGTAGGCCCGAGCCTGTTGTTTGAGGTCCTGCTCCAGGTCCACCTGATGCTGCTGCTGCTGCTGCGGCTGGTTAGTAGTTTCCTCACTGCGCTGGTGAAGAAAGCTACTCATCATCGACTGCAGACTGAGGCAGCTGCTGCTGGTGGAGCTGCCACTGCTCCTACCACCCCACCCCTCCCCTGCTGCCATGGCAGCGGAACGCGAGCGCACAGGGCCCACAGTGTCTGAGGATGGACGTTGGCGCAGAAAGGCAGAGACCAACTGACTACATAGGTGGTTTTTATAGTACGTTATTTTGGCCTCCCTCTCAGCAGGTGTGAAAAAGGCCACCATTTTTGAACGGTAGCGAGGGTCCAACAAGGTGGACAGCCAAAAGTTATCCCTCTGTCTGATGGTTATTATTCGGCTGTCAGCATGCTATGGGCCATTTGTGCCAAGGAATGCGAGGGACTCCTTCCTGCCTCCATCTCCACAGCATACTGCCACGGTGCCTCTGGGTCCTCTGTCTCCTCCTCCTCCTCTACCAGATGCTCCTGCTCCTCCACTCCTGTCCGCTGAGTGGAAAAACCACCCATTTCACTCAATAATTCCTGAGCACCAATGTCCTCCTCTACCTCCTCCTCTTCTTCCTGTCCTGCCCCCACAGGGGTCATGTGGCGTTGAGATCTGTGCGCCACGTCTACCGCACCCTGACCAGCCATTGTTAACAGCATTTGTTCCAGGACGTGCAACAGAGGAATAACGTCGTTCATCCCATAGTCCTGCCGACTCACGAATAGCGTGGCCTCCTCAAAGGGCCTGAGCAAGCGGCAGGTGTCACGCATGAGCTGCCAATGGCTGACATCTAAGTTACACAGGGGAGTACCTTTATCCGCTTGTAACATCAGGAAATCGGTGATGGCCTTTCGCTGTTCGTAAAGGCGGTCTAACATATGTAGGGTTGAATTCCACCTTGTTGCAACGTCGCAGATCGGGCGATGCTGTGGAATTCCGTTCTGCCGCTGCAGCTCAAGGAGGGTGTGCTTTGCGGTGTAGGAATGGCTGAAATGCATGCAAAGTTTACGTGACATTTTAAGGATGTCTTGCAGTGGGATGGTGGATTTTAGGAACCGCTTGACAACCAGATTGAACACGTGAGCCATGCATGGCGCATGGCACAACCTTCCTTGACGCAGAGCAGACACCATGTTCTTTCCGTTGTCGGTCAACATGGTTCCGATTTTCAGTTTGCGCGGAGACAGCCATCTGTCGATTTCTCTGTTCATTACACTCAGAAGTTCCTCCCCTGTGTGACTACGTTCGCCAAGGCATACCAGGTGCAGCACAGCGTGACACCGTTGCGCCCTGCACATGTGATATGCCGGTCGGGTAATGGGACTCGGCACGGCACGGGGGTGGCGGCTGAGGACACTGCGGAAGAAGAGGTGGTAGAGGCGGACATCTTTGCTGGACCAAGGACGTGCAAACGTGGAGGCAAAAGCGGCGTGACCTGTCCAAGTTGCTGGTGCGGCTGTGACGGCACCACGTTCACCCAGTGGGCCGTAAATGACATGTACTGTCCCTGACCGTAGTTACAGCTCCACACGTCGGCGCTGCCGTGCACTTTGGCAGAGACCGACATGCTCAAAGACTGGCCCACCATCTCTTCTACATGTGAATGCAGGGCTGGCACTGCCTTTTTGGTGAAGAAATGCCAGCTTGGCACTCTCCACCGCGGCTCGGCACAAGCCATCGTTTCTCGGAAAGGTGCTGAGTCCACCACTTGGAAAGGGAGGGACTGCAGCACCAGCAACTTGGACAGGAGGATGTTCAGCTTCTGCACCGTCGGGTGCGTGCTCGCAAACTGTTGTCTCTTGGAAATGGATTCCAAGAAAGACTGCTGATGGAATCCGTGAAGAGGAGTAGCAGGAGAAGGAGCATCTGAACGAGCGGAAGATGCCAACGAGCGACAACTCCCCTCAGCAGAGGTGTTGGAGCCTTGACTGGCTGATAGAGGGCGATTGACGTCGGGTGACGGAGCAAGTAACGGAGCGGGTGATGGAGCGGAGGCTGGGGCAGGCAGAACCGCCGTATCTTTATCACGGTTTTCCCAGGCCACCGAATGGTGACGCTGCATATGCTGACGCAACGCTGTAGTCCCAACATGGGCCCCCTGGCCACGCTTGACTTTCTGGCCACATAGTCGACATACGGCTACGTTTACTTCGTCGGGCGGCTTGACGAAAAATTGCCACACCGCCGAGTAGAGTAGGAAACTTTGCCCCCGCTACTCCTCACTGGCTGACTGCTACTTCCTCCGTGCACACCGGCACCACTACTGGCCGTGGTGGTAGGCTGCAGTGGAGCTGGTGCTCTACTCCGTGGCCGTTTGCCTCCACTGACACTGCTGCGACCCTGCTGCCTCCTGGGCAACCCACCGACTGTTTTGCTCGCTGCCAAGCTGGCACCCTCTTCTCCTGATGATGCGGAAGAAATAGCCTGATGACGACGAGGCTGCCAAGTGCGATCAGCCTCATCATCATCAATTAGGGTCTCCGCCTCACTACTAGCCCCCTCGGCTGCGTGTGGGTCAGGAGACAGACCTGTCTCTAGACCGGCTACCGAGCCACTCTCCTCGCCACTACTTCTTCGCCTGGCTGCTGAAGAGGCGGATGTCTCCCCCCGTTCCTGACCGCCCTCTGTTAGCTCTTCCTCACTGTACAGTGGGGCTGAGCCCACAGCATGCGATACTTCGCTTGGTGAGGGAACACCAAAGGACAGGGGCAGGCAGAGGACACGTGATTTCAGTGGGCTTTCTCCCGGGCCATGCCAACTAACGGTTGTGTCTGAGTACCCACCGACCGTTTGCTGTAGGTGTCAGAGGTGACCTGGGAAGAGGAAGACGACCGAGCCAACCAATCGATGACGGCAGGGTTGTCGGTGGAGACACGACCGCTGGATGACACCGGGAGCACTGGCCTCTGGCTGCTGCGACTAGTGCTGCCTCGATCCCTTCCTCTGCTGCCACGTCTGCTCGCTCCCTTAAACATGGCCTCCTCTGACACTCCTCTGCGTGTTGTCTGACATACTCTTTAATTCAACGATTCTGTGTCCCTGAGTAACGATTCTGTGTCCCTGAGTAACAGTTCTGTGTCTGTCCCTGAGTAACAATTCTGTGTCCCTGAGTAAACAGTTCTGTGTCCCTGAGTAACAATTCTGTGTCCCTGAGTAACAATTCTGTGTCCCTCAGTAACAATTCTGTGTCTGTCCCTGAGTAACAATTCTGTGTCCCTCAGTAACAATTCTGTGTCCCTCAGTAACAATTCTGTGTCTGTCCCTGAGTAACAATTCTGTGTCCCTGAGTAACAGTTCTGTGTCCCTGAGTAACAATTCTGTGTCCCTGAGTAACAGTTCTGTGTCCCTGAGTAACAATTCTGTGTCCCTGAGTAACAGATTCTGTGTCCCTGAGTAACAATTCTGTGTCCCTGAGTAACAATTCTGTGTCCCTCAGTAACAATTCTGTGTCCCTCAGTAACAATTCTGTGTCTGTCCCTGAGTAACAATTCTGTGTCCCTCAGTAACAATTCTGTGTCCCTCAGTAACAATTCTGTGTCCCTGTTCTGTGTCCTGAGTAACAATTCTGTGTCCCTGAGTAACAATTCTGTGTCCCTGAGTAACAATTCTGTGTCTGTCTGTCCCTGAGTAACAATTCTGTGTCCCTCAGTAACAATTCTGTGTCCCTCAGTAACAATTCTGTGTCTGTCCCTGAGTAACAATTCTGTGTCCCTGAGTAACAGTTCTGTGTCCCTGAGTAACAATTCTGTGTCCCTGAGTAACAGTTCTGTGTCCCTGAGTAACAATTCTGTGTCCCTGAGTAACAATTCTGTGTCCCCTCAGTAACAATTCTGTGTCCCTCAGTAACAATTCTGTGTCTGTCCCTGAGTAACAATTCTGTGTCCCTCAGTAACAAT